CTACAAGCATTATTACTTGGTCCTAAATTTTGTAGTATGTCAACTAAAAATAAACTCAACGCTAAAATCTAATTTGAAAACCCCATGCGTCAGACAAGTGACCTTACCCCTGTATCTAATAGCGATTATAAGTACATCAAAAGAACTCTTATAGACTGTGATAATCAATATATAAACACAATACTTATAATTGGACGATTACACACAAAAAACTCAAATCTCAATTATTTGATATTCTGATAAATCAGGATTTAGTGCTGTGTCACCCAGATAAGGGTGCAGGGAATATCCTTACGGATCGTCACGACTATGTCACCAAACTATCCTCGATAATATCTGATGCTGTCGAATTCTCTAAAGAAACAATTCAAAAAGGTGTAGCTGGAAAAAACGGAACAGATGCTAACTATAATTTTAAGGGAGACGAAAGACGAATCTATCGTCAGTTGTGACCTCTACGAACACCTTAGACCATAGGGTTCCGCCATACTGAAATTAAACGGACTCCCAAAAGTTCATAAGAAAAATAAACCCCTACGTCCTACACTTGATATGAATATATCTCCGTATCACTTGATTGCTAAATGGTTAGCTGAAATTTTACAGTCCGTCGGGAATCACACCAACAGAAACAACTCATTAATAATAATAATAATAATAATAATAATAATAATAATAATAATAATACTGACTCTCTCGATTCATTTGATTTTGTCAACTCAATTATAAATATCAATGTAAAAGGTAGAAAAATTATCTTATTGGATGTTGCTTTCCTCTTTACAAATGTTCCACTCACAGAAACAACACTTTTCTTATGTGACTATATTGAAAATAATAACTTTGATATTTGTATCCCAAAACGTTATCTAAAAAAGTTATTTCTATGATGTCCTCTCAATGTGTTATTAACATTTAACGATGGTTTCAATATAAAAAACGAATGGAGTTGCAATTGGTTCACCACTGGGCCCCCTATCGGATGATTGTTTCATGACCAATCTGAAAAATAGGATATTTCCACCAATAATTGAGAGATTTCATTTATGTAATAGATACGGATGAAAATTTCACTATTTACGAGGAAGATAAGGACCTCAATGAAGTTTTGAATCGATTGAATGATTGTCATGAGTCAATTCAATTCATATTACAAGCAGAGGCGATCGAGTAATTTCATCTTCTTGATGTCAGGTTGTAAAGAAGATCAGATGGTTCTTTAAAGAGACTTAGATGTAGGAAACCGACTTGGAATGGTCAGCATACGAATTTTCATAGTTGGGTCCCAATGAGTAGAAAAAGAGACTTAATTCACTCATTATCCTCAAGGATTAGGCAAATATGTTCTCATAAAACAACAGATGACGAACTACTTCAAATTCGACAGATACTCATCAGAAACGGTTAACTACCTAGATTTTCTGATAGTAACTTAACACCGAGACATGCTGAAAAAGTACCGACAGTTCAAAAGAAAACTCTTTTTATGAATATCGAATTTAAAGGAAATGCGGCTGATGAAATCTTGAATTGACGGATTTCAAGATCCCTGACTTAAACGTTCTATTTAGCTAAGCTCCGTGTTGTTTTCTCAAGCCAGCCTACCATTCACGGATGTGTTAAGGTTAAACTCCTGCTTTGAACCACGTCAATGTAAATCTATAAATTTACTTGCTCTTGTGGGGCAGGTTACATTGACCGCACAAAGCGACCACTTTCCAAACGCTTCTCAGAACGTTACGCAGAGCGGCTTCTAGAAGGAGAATGTAAAAGTCACCAGTTCGATACAGGAGCACATAACTATATCTGGACACGTCGCTCCAAAAGACTATTCTTTTAAAATAATCTACAAAATCAAAGGAACTAGATCAAAAGGAGGTCGAATCAAAAAATTATGCACTGCTAAGGCGGTGGCGATCCACCGACTCAAGCCCGGAATGTGTTCAAAAACAATACATCCAACCTCTCATTCTTCCTTGAACCTAATTTCCTTCTGTAGTATGTTTTGGTCCTGTTTTTTTAATTAATAGTTTGTAATTTTAATAGTTATCCTCCAACAATTTTTTATGGCTACTATTCAGCCATTATTATGACATTCATGTTTTCCACTTTTCCTTCATATCTGTCAAGCGGACAATTATCTTTCATAATCCTGATCTGTAAATTATTTCCGTCCTTCTATTCTTTTCCAACCCCCAAATTATTACATAACTATTGCATTTAATGATATCATACAAACAACAAACTTTTGTGAAGACTAATTTGTAAGGACTATGACTTCGATTTTAAGCTCTCGCCTTATCTGAACCATTTCTACATATGATCTTTACTCTGAAAATTTGTCTGATCCCACAGGTCAACTATAGCATGCATCTAAATTTCTCAACCTGATTCAATATCGTCGCCACTCTGTTTCGGGGGTCATGATGTTCATGTTAAAAAATATTATTTCAACAACACACCCTTGTAGGTAGTTATGACTTCCAGTGGTGTTGTGTTTACTGAAATAGGCTTAACTGAGAAGTTTTAATATTGTTCTAGATGAAACCATTACTGCTTAATTCAAATGACACTCCACAAAGAGTCAAATACTAACCTTTCACACTTTACATCAAATAGGATGTGATTAGGCAAGTGAATTACAATTGGGTAAACTACGTGTTAAATTTTAATTTATCACTCAACGTGATGACAATTTAACGCCATTAACAAGGTGCTTCATTTTTCAGCCTCACGTATCCACACATTTCAAAGTTTTCAAGCAGATTTCAGGGTGACGGATCTTAAAGCTAATAAGTGATGAGTAAACAATGCTAACTTAATTTTGTTTCACTAACAACTACCAATCTTTTTCTTGTTCAGGGTCTGTTTGCTTGGTTTTGAATTATGATTATTGAATCTCTGTTTATCTTACTGATCTATCTAATCAAACCATCCTATCAGTACTCCTTTTCTTTATGAAATATGAGATTAAGAACATTTTAAACAACGAATAAATTCATGACTTCATGTTTTTTCACATAAACTGATCAGTAAATGATCGTGTTACTTCCATCAGAAACCATTAGACTTCATCGAATTTTGGATGATAACATTTTCATAAATTGATACTCAAGATAAAATGAACTGCCGATGTTTTTTATTCTAAATTATTTTTTAAAAACAATATATAACCATATCGTCAGAATGACACTAGAAAACAAGCAAACAACTAATCAACATAAAATAATCATGTGAAAATTCACAAAAATGAAAAGAACGCACCAACAACAACAATAGCATTGATTATAACAACGACAACATAAAAGAGGCGGGTAAAGTGGCCGAAAGATAGCTTTCTTCATCATGCACCTAAATTTCGATACATTAATAAGGAAAACAACAGGTATAAACAAATTTAAACAAGAAAGAATATTATTTCTGCTATTGTTTGTTTAAATTAAATATCATTGTTGATAGTCATAATGATGATAGCGCTGATAATGAATATTAGAGACATTTTGTTCGCAAACATATTCGTTTGAGTGGTATTTGTAGTAAAGTAATTGATAATTGTTTGAACATGTGTATTTCAAAATGTGTATTTCAATAGAGTGAATCCATAAGTAAACGTACAGAAATTTGAGTCATTTGCTAGGTGAATCTCAACGAATGACTCACTAGACAATAATAAGGCGCCAAAATGTGGGTAAATTTATACATGTGGATGAGGGAGGGGAGAGAAAATATAAAAAAAACAGTCGAATGTTCGATACAGCTCTTATCACCAGAATGACAATGTCATATGGTGCATGATTGAAAGCGAAGGGTGTGAGCAAACTTGCATGAATTTTTAAACGGTGTAACAACTTTCCTCTTAATGAATAGAACTGAAGTACTCAAAATCCCATTCCTACTCTTTAACATAAACTTTCATCATATACTGAATGAAAAATGTGTGATAAAAAACTCACTCCTTTTGACATATTTACTTAGGATTTATAGAAAAACATTGAATACTAAAAGCCCACCAAAATATTCATCCTTCATTGATGCAATTAAAACAAAATTTAAAAGTCACGCAAAGAAATAAAAAGACTCAGGAGAACAGAGAAGAATCACTTTCCTGCTCAGAGAGGCTATCCATAAAAGCTACATATCCATGTATATATGGTTGTCTTGTAATTTCATGGTCGCTACGGCAACATTTTTTATGAAAAAACGGATATTACGCAGTCAAATACAACATAAAAGAAAGAGATAAGTCCATACATTTTGCTTTCACTGTCAGACTGTAATGCGAAGTAAGCGATAAAGTGAGTGAAAGAGACAGGACAACTAACCAGAAGTAGCATATATATATATATATATATATATATATATATATATATATATATATATAAAGAGAGAGAGAGGGGAGGGAGAGATACTATATCTTACACAATAAGTATTTGTGTAAAGTACGACTAAAATGTGCCAAAATAGATCGAATTTCAACTAAAACATTACAATCAAATCTTATTTCAATCGATATTCAATAAAATAATTGAATACATATAACATACAGTTCAATAATCTAAATTATAATATCAATTTTTCATTTAATTGATCTCTGCATTATCCAGTGTTTAAGTCTGTCGGAACATACGTATTGATTTGAGTTTCCTGGTATTGTTATTGGCATTTTCTGTTGTTTTAATCAGTAATCAACTAAATTAATTGGAACATTGAATAAAATGAGAAGTATGGAATGAAAACGTTGATAGAATTTTTAAAAATTTTATTATTTTATTATCCTTGCGGTTTTTTAAGGAAGAGAAGCGTAAACAATCAGTTTTCATTGAGCATAAATTAACCATGAGTATATTTGTTATTTCGTGAAAAAATATAATATGTGTAAGGTGGGGATGATTTTAATTTTGTGAAACAATTGGAAAAAAAATTGGTAAAAACAAGATAAACGAGGAAGGATCGCTATTTTCAGCACCATCTTCACTAGTAATAGTTTGTTCTTCATCCTTTTACAAACGTCCGTCTCGATAATTACCATAACCATGAGCTAAAGGTTCTTTTTCTGGCTGTGAAATACCACGAGAATAATTATATGGTGATTGAGAAGTGGCTTGTTTTTCACTTGGTGTACGACTTGATGGATTATGTTCAATGACAGCACTGAAAAAGCAAAATAAAAGAATTAAGTTGATTAAAGTTTTCTTATATTGTTACTGTTCATATTTCTTTCTTATGAACTGTATTTCACTTAACTTATCAAGTATCGGAAGCGTTTTTTTCTTACACATCAAATTGTTTCAGGTAATTAAAACAAGTTTAAAGTATAAAGGAAATTGACTGGTCAACAACCAGCCAATCAACGTTAAGTCACATGAAAATAACATCGAATATCGTAGTAAATATAATACTATTCTAAGAACTTTGACGTTTTTCCATCTAATAAACACTATGCTCTTATATCTTTTAACATTTATTGGAGGTTTTAAATGACAGTCAGTGGGTTGTAAAAGAGTTAAGCATAAGTGTTGTAATGTCTGCAACATTTATGCACATGTGTAATTACACATTAATAAGTGTGTGCTTTTATACTCTGCTTACTGTTTACTTATCTCTTATTGGTCGGTCGAATAGTTGCTATGATTTATTTGATCACTAAAATCGACCACCTTACTGCTATATTCGATGAAGTCATCTAGTAAGCACTTAGCTACACGATACATTCTCCATTTGTAAACTGAAAACAAAGTGAGAGAGTGTTAAAATCATCAAAAAAGTGTCATATTACACAAATAAGATTTTCTAATTTTAATTTAAAATTTAACGCGAATAAATTTAACCATAAAATCTCGATGTCACTGAGTAGATTGATGACATAATAAATCATGGAATCGATTGAATGACATGAATCGATAACAACTAATAACATACTTTATCCATAATTCGTTTCAATGAACTGCAGGAATATTAAAAGGTAACATCTGATCTGAAGTTATGAAGAATACTTATTCATCTAAAATACATCTGAATCCAAAGATGAACATACATAATTTCATGATAACAAAAACTGGCTCACTCACTACTGCTGACTATCATGAAACCCTATTGTCGATCCCGTTTCAAATTGAATAATGCAAGAACAATGAGCATGACAGGATACGATCATAAACATTATTAACCAGTAACACATCTATATGTTCATTGACTTTCACTATTTTTGTAATTATTTTCACAGTGAAACAAAGCCACTGTTATTATGCAGTTATTTATAAGCACGCTTCACACTGAAGTGAAACTAGAATAAATATATATGTTGATTTTGTGCTAATGATGTACAGAACTCACTTGTATGTACAAATGCATACATATACATGCAAAGGAACAAACAAACACACAGAGCATGAGTTGTACATACACGCGCAATGTAAATCAAATGACAAACATTCCACAAGAAAATTCTAAAAAAACATAACGATAAAAAAAATGAAATAGCCGAATAATAAACACGAAATGTACATAAATTTTTTCTACAGATCATTCAAGAGTATCTTAGATAGTATGTTGAGGTTAACAGATAAATAACTCACACTCTCACAGATGTGTTTACAAAGTGTATATATGCAATCACTATGTAAGAATAGCACACCACCTACTCATTACATTTTCATTTATACACGAAGATGCTGTTGTTATGATGAAGTATCGTCAGAAAATAAGAAATTAATAAATGAGCATACAAACACAATGGCACATGCATACTACCATATGCTCACAAATTATGCACAACTGAAAAACAAATAATGACAAAACGACAATTTTTTTCATATTAACTTGTGTACATAGTAAGAGATTGAAGGTTTGTCTGATGAATTTGGCAAAGAAATACAACTGCGACAGCGTCGATAAAAGTCATGATAATTAAAATAAAAAGAAGAATGATGTAAGATGAAAAAATTGAACAAATACGCACTAAGCATCTAGTGTACCCCACACAAACACACACAAGACGCTCACATAATTAAAAATTATATATAAGAATTTAAGTCAGTCAACTTAGTTAATACACAGAATGAGAGAATAAGAATAAAGTAAAATGCCGAAAATAAAAGTTCTGCTTATTAACCAAAATAATAGCTATTTCCTTACATAGATTAAACATGTAATGAACTAGTTGATAATGAGTACTGATAGTAATAGGAATTATAGTAGTTTTAATATGATTATGTGAAATGTATATATATATATATATAATGCAGAATTCACGTTCGGCCTGAAAATATGTAATCCAATGTCTTGACTTTTGTAGTCAAATTGAAATTGGACAGTATACATTCTAAACGGTACATTACTGTGTATCAAACTGGCAAATCATAAAATCAAAAGTTAACTCCTACTAAGCAAACCAACAAGCTAACTGTTTGATGATACTTTGGATAGTGACTAACAGTGAAATTTACAACATACATTTCAGCCTGACTGAAACATCAATTGAATATACTTCCTCGATCATGTTTGCAAACGAACTCAACACTTGTGTCTAGCGGTTTCAAAGACAGTCATATTTTCTATACAGCTGGATCGCAAAACTCATTATTAATTCGATAGGCATAATGTTTAATTCAAAAATTCTGATTGGTGATGATCAAGGGTGAATTCTTTACATTAGTTTCCATATTATCGTATTAAGCAAGTAATCATTACAAGAAATGTAAATCGGTTCGAGTAAGTAAATTCAGGTAGTTCAACCATCCCTCATTCGAATACTTCACTAAAGTAAATATTCTACCATTCGGATGGTTTAATTATGCTGATAGAAAAAAGTGATAATTTTATCACCTATATCAATTGTTGCAGCAACTAACAATAGCTCTAAAAATTTGGGTGATTTTTTTAAATTCACGAAAATCCTTTGAACATATATCTGTTAAAATACATATAAACAAAAAAACTCTTATTGACTTACCAATATGAATTCGTTTTATGTGAAACACCAAGATTTCTCTCTTGTTGTTTTCTACGTTGTGTACGTTTACGTGACGAATAAACAATTAAACTTATGATGATAACAATAATACATGCTATGACAACACAAATTACAATGATCATTTCAATGGAAATACCACTACTACCAGCGGTAGCCAATTGTTGTTCATTACCATCTGCATTGACTGGTTTCAAATCATGGCGACCTAATATTCCACCGAAATCACCATTTTGTTGTTGATTACTATTGTCTTGTCCAGTTGGTTGATACTGATCGAATACACCGATATTATAATTTGATGATAAATCTTTCGATGGTATCACTGATTGACTTAATTCTTCTTTACATACATCATCAACTGTTAATTCAATCAGTTCGCGAGATTTCAAGTTTTCCGGGGTATGACAACGAAACTCATAAATTTTAGCTCTAAAAATTTAAAAATAAAGAAGTTTTGAAGAAGAGGAACAAAATGTTGATCAAAAGTGAATCAGAAATAGGAGAGACTTCAGTAAGCCACGACGTATCCACTGTAAGTATGTTAACAAGCTGCACACGTCTGTTCACTGATAGTGTTAGAAGCATACTGAAAGAGTTGGGTAATACGACTCACTAGGCAAGTTGACTTATAAGTTTCAGAATTTTGCACACGTTGTTTCTATACACCGCAAAAAAGTCTAAATGATCTGCACTTGTTTCAAACCCTACTTCATCATTAACATAATCAGAGAATAATTCAACTTAGAAAGTTATGTTAATTTCATCGATGAATAAATCTTCAAATGAATGTATAGTAATTAGTGAGTGGTAAATAAAGAAGAATGATCTAATCAGAACCACACCACAAATATTTATAAAATCAACTACTTACAACGACTTTTCTGACTAATTAATTAGTTTTGTCGACAAAAATACATCAGTACCACATTTCGAAATGATTGATTCAATAATATTGATGAATGTCTCAATGCAGAATCACCTTGACTAGAACAACATGACGTTGACTTGATCGGACTTATTTTGATTATTCTAGATGTTATACTTTGTTTTTCTGTATTAAGTAAAACTGTATTAATTTAATTCGGCTATTTATTTATTCTATTAGGAATTAACTTACGCTAAGCTGTGAAAAGTACGAAATTCAGTTTTTTACTCACTCAGACATTACAAATATATCATTATTTTAATATAAACGATCCTTCGGTTATAGATTTCCGTTGTTCTCATTATTTTTAGTGTTTATTCGGCTAACAATGATTTATGTTAAAGATCAACCTTTAATAAATGATTTCCTTAGCATAGAGAAATAGTACAATTTAAAAAAAAACTATTTTCGGGATGTAGTGTTGCAAATAGTTGCTAACTATGTGATTTCATTGATTTTTGTTTCAGTGACGCCTCACTGTTCAATATTCTTTCTGCTTTTGTTCTCTTCTAATTAAAAGTTTATGTAACATACTGAATTAGGTGAAATTCAAAAATGAAGTTTAACGATGAATATATATATATATATATATATATATATATATATATATATACGTTAAAAATAAAAATGGCTCCTCATCCGTTAATGATAATATTTATGAAACTAATTTTACTGTGTTCAAGAAATACTGTTACAGAATTATTCCATCAGAAATATATCAGTATGCCGATAACAAGAATCAAACATGGTACTTTCGCAGTTTTTCGATGATCATGATATAAATCAGGCACTAAGTGACTAGCTTATATTCTTAAAATTTAAGATTAACTCAGAGAAATCACTTTTAGGCTCCCTGTGGTAACGACTAACAGTTATGATAAACAGATTGATTCGTCGTCTCCAGAGTTAACAGTCTACTAAAATGAAGGTTATTGGATCTACAACAAGATGAATATGTTAGAATTAGTTTTTTCAAAGCATACATCTACTAAAAATATTTACTTTGGTAAAAACAATGAGTTATGTAAGTGTGAAATAGAGAGGACTGTTGGTTTATTCTAAATCAATGTACCTCTAAACAAAATACATTTGACATGAAACACAATGAATATCAGCTATAGAAATATATAATAACTAATAACACAAAAAACAACCAATGTAAATTCGCAACATCATACAATGCCCCATAAAATGATAAAATATACGTATATACACTTTTTACGAAGTAAAAAGATAGCTGTCACCCACGATATAACACTTTGGTCACATTTAAAATCTTCAGGGAACCACTGAAAATGTCAAACATTTAAACTTCTAGATCATATAAACGGAACAAGAAGAAACAATGTAAATTAATTATTTCATGGTGATAAATGTTTCTAAAATTGTAATCCTTTTATTCAACACAGTTATAAGGGCTGGCTTCTCAAACTTATGGACAACTGCTTTCCAATATTTGTGAATGCTTCAAAAATCTTTTCTCCCTCCAGATTTATTTTGATTGAATACTTATGCATGTTCAATTTTTCATGTAATCAACCACTCTGATAAAATAACTTACAATCCATCTCAAATATAATTACTGCTGAAGTCGATCAAAGCCATCACATTGGTAAGTATACTTTCCCTCGTGTATACTCTCCAGAGAAACAACAGTTGAATATATTGGAATTAGCAAACGAAATATACTACGGAATGGAAAAGATATCATTGAAATGCAACTTATGAGGTGTTTGTGGATGGTGATCAATGGCAAGTGACTGGTGTTACAAAACGTTTCTTTGGATATACAATGAGTGGAAACAATTTCAACGGATTTCAGAATAGTATTGTGATATTCCGCATCACAATAATCAAACAAACGATATTGAATAAATTGATTTTCATGTTATCCAACATCGATATATCCCACTATGAATCGCTACCAAGTGAAGGACTATGGACAGTGATCTTGTCCTAATTTCAAACCGAACGATAATAAGGCAGTAGTAAACTCAAGTCTTTGACTGAGAATTACGTTATATTGCAAATCAACTGGAGAGACAAATATGGATCACTGAATCTTAACTCAATGATTATATAGTATCTCGAAACCTAAAAATTCTGTACTACATCTCTTATTTATCCCTGAGTTCAGCTAGAACCAGGCCAAAACAGTGCTTCCTGTTTTTTAAATGACCCACTGTTCGATGTAATCTTTATGGTCAGCAAGTTATCAAAATCATAAATTCGTGTAATCAAACTGACAAAAATGAATCGAATTGTGATAACAAGGAAAAAGTAATTTTTTTTTCATTTAATATCATAAAAGTGTTAAAGAACATTTAATAAAATTGAAAATACATTCAGAAAGAAAAACATGTTATGCGAAATAACATACTTATCAATTAGTAGTACTAAAATAGTTTGTTCTTTTTTTAAAGGAATATCCAGATGTGCAGACAATTTACCCGAACGTTGACGATACATAAGAATCTGATCAAATTGTAAATTGAATAAAGATATAGAATATGAACGATTGAATTTCTATTCATTGACTCAATAGGATTATACACACGCCTAGAAATTTGGTATTTTTTTTCGAGCTTAATCTTCTAATCATTAGACAGTAAATAATTCTAGAAGGTTTTAAGCTAACAGAGGAAATTTCCCCACTCCTTTTTTCCCGCCGATGACGTTACTTCGTGTTGAGATGTTATTTTAAATAACGAAAACCATAGAGTATAAATTTGTTTATCCTATCATTGGAATATATATCACGTAGGTTACTTTAAGATAAATGCTTATCTAAGAGAATTTTATTCTTCCTTTATAGCACTAAATGTTATGTTAAAGAAGTAGATAACCTTTTTAGGTGTTTTGAAGATGACATTTGTTTCACCTTGGTCTCGCCTGGTGCTGCACTGAGAACCACGATGCACCGAACAGGTGTTTCACCTTAGTACAGGACTTTTCAATCCTCATTGTCAATTCCTGCCACCTACAAATTAAGCCAGTACCCATAAAACTCTTTCATTAGTAATGTATAAGTTTACTAACTAGTAACGTACTTGGAGATCAATTCCTGAAGTTCTAGTTTGAAGTGATGATCGGTAGAGTTCAGAAGGTTTTGGATTTATTAATTATAGAGCAATTATCTATCTTATGGATGAAATAAAATTGAGGAAATTCACCGAAATCATTAACGACTTACAAAACTACAAAGAAATCAGTTGTGTCTAATGTTTCGAAAGAGAAACAGTTAGATATGATTCAGCTTCTTAAATTATAAATAAAAATTTGGAACGGATAAATATAGTTATGGTTACCAAGTAAAATAACATTTCAAAATTTCGTTACATTGAATGTTCAACAGTAATTCATTCAGACCACTGATTTATTTTAGAATATATGTAGTCCCATCCTCCTTCAGATTCACTGTGACACTTTGTTAATGTAGACAAATGATACTAGTTAACATTTGTACATTGTAATCGACAACACAGTTCAGTAGATACTTAAATATACAGATCTATCACTAATCCACTGTACGGTAAGTACTATCATATTTGAGAACAATTGCTTTTTCGTAAATTAATCTTATTTACTAAAACAAAATTTCACCAAAAATATTTACTAGCTATACAAGGGCACTGACTGGTTGCTTTTGTGAATAAAAAGTCACAACTGCTCTTATTCAATATTATCAGTCTCAGTTGAGATTTCATCAACCAGTCAGATTTTAATAAATCTACTTGGCTGGTCTTTAATAACATCAAATGTGTATTTTAAAACTTTTCTCTAACCATTGCTAATTATGACACAAAATAACATCAGAATAATGATATCTTTTTAAAAATCATTCAGTATGAACGGTTCACATAATAACACGTTATTAGTACTAATATTAACAGTCGTAATGGTGTAGTGAATGAGAACACAAGTGGGGACAATAGAATGTATTTCAATATGATATTACAGAACATCTTAGTGAAATCTGAGAACCAAACTGTAAACACTTCATTTGCAAAATGTCAATCAATTGTCCAAAACTTTACTGTTCCTTCATTTACACAGCATTCATTCTCTGTCCTCGTTCTCTTTTCTTTGATCTTCTTAACTTTCTGCCACCAGACATTTTACTTTGGATTGATGGTACATACAAATTATATCTGTCTATATCAGTAGCACACACCATAATGGTTATAATGATAATCACAATCATTTGTGACATATATATACTTACACAGGTGTCATTTATCATTGGTCGAAATCAAAATACTAAAGTGGTTGAAAAGATCTACATTAGTGCTGACTACTGTTCAGAATCATATCCTCAGGTCATCTGTATAATAAATTCGTCGAATCATTTCGGATGGCTCAGTGCTTTTTTGTAAATCCTACTGGTTTATGGTATATCATCTTTTGATAACTAAGGGAATCTGTGATAACCTGTCCTTTTAATAATGGGATGACATGGTATTCAATAAAGGCATATATTTTTAAAATTATTTGATTGTTTTTC